TACGTTTTGTTCTATTTCATCTTTGTAAACACACACACACACACACACACACACACACACACACACACACACACACACACATTTCATACATTTAATAGTTCACCTCCTCCGGCATACACTATGAGATTCAAGGAACAGCTGCTCGCTGACCTGACCAACAGGATGCAGGTGGGCGGCCCCCTGGGCAGGGGCAAGGGGAATATGACCCGCAGCTGCCGAGAGAGGTCAGCTGCCGGCGACCACGCCCCTAGGCAGGCAAAGGGAGGAATGACCCAGTGTCTCAAGGAACAGGCAGAACGAGTCTAGGCCTCATACGAACAACACCGTCCCTTCTGGCCTTCCGTAGGAACCCGACGACGCCCTATCTGCCACGTCCACGTTACCAACCTATATCTGCGTTACTACGTGTCTGCTTAGCAATAAAGTGTGTTAACAGATACTGAGTATCCCACCGCTGCCACCAGCTATAATGGTCTCTCATTCAATTATATAGAGATCCACTATATTATCTGGAGGTCCAGAGGAAAACTCAGTATCTGTTAACACACTTTATTGCTAAGCAGACGCGTAGTAACGCAGATATAGGTTGGTAACGTGGACGTGGCAGATAGGGCGTCGTCGGGTTCCTACGGAAGGCCAGAAGGGACGGTGTTGTTCGTATGAGGCCTAGACTCTCGGTATGAGATTCAAGGAACAGCTGCTCGCTGACCTGACCAACAGGATGCAGGTGGGCGGCCCCCTGGGCAGGGGCAAGGGGAATATGACCCGCAGCTGCCGAGAGAGGTCAGCTGCCGGCGACCACGCCCCTAGGCAGGCAAAGGGAGGAATGACCCAGTGTCTCAAGGAACAGGCAGAACGAGTCTAGGCCTCATACGAACAACACCGTCCCTTCTGGCCTTCCGTAGGAACCCGACGACGCCCTATCTGCCACGTCCACGTTACCAACCTATATCTGCGTTACTACGTGTCTGCTTAGCAATAAAGTGTGTTAACAGATACTGAGTATCCCACCGCTGCCACCAGCTATAATGGTCTCTCATTCAATTATATAGAGATCCACTATATTATCTGGAGGTCCAGAGGAAAACTCAGTATCTGTTAACACACTTTATTGCTAAGCAGACACGTAGTAACGCAGATATAGGTTGGTAACGTGGACGTGGCAGATAGGGCGTCGTCGGGTTCCTACGGAAGGCCAGAAGGGACGGTGTTGTTCGTATGAGGCCTAGACTCTCGGTATGAGATTCAAGGAACAGCTGCTCGCTGACCTGACCAACAGGATGCAGGTGGGCGGCCCCCTGGGCAGGGGCAAGGGGAATATGACCCGCAGCTGCCGAGAGAGGTCAGCTGCCGGCGACCACGCCCCTAGGCAGGCAAAGGGAGGAATGACCCAGTGTCTCAAGGAACAGGCAGAACGAGTCTAGGCCTCATACGAACAACACCGTCCCTTCTGGCCTTCCGTAGGAACCCGACGACGCCCTATCTGCCACGTCCACGTTACCAACCTATATCTGCGTTACTACGTGTCTGCTTAGCAATAAAGTGTGTTAACAGATACTGAGTATCCCACCGCTGCCACCAGCTATAATGGTCTCTCATTCAATTATATAGAGATCCACTATATTATCTGGAGGTCCAGAGGAAAACTCAGTATCTGTTAACACACTTTATTGCTAAGCAGACACGTAGTAACGCAGATATAGGTTGGTAACGTGGACGTGGCAGATAGGGCGTCGTCGGGTTCCTACGGAAGGCCAGAAGGGACGGTGTTGTTCGTATGAGGCCTAGACTCTCGGTATGAGATTCAAGGAACAGCTGCTCGCTGACCTGACCAACAGGATGCAGGTGGGCGGCCCCCTGGGCAGGGGCAAGGGGAATATGACCCGCAGCTGCCGAGAGAGGTCAGCTGCCGGCGACCACGCCCCTAGGCAGGCAAAGGGAGGAATGACCCAGTGTCTCAAGGAACAGGCAGAACGAGTCTAGGCCTCATACGAACAACACCGTCCCTTCTGGCCTTCCGTAGGAACCCGACGACGCCCTATCTGCCACGTCCACGTTACCAACCTATATCTGCGTTACTACGTGTCTGCTTAGCAATAAAGTGTGTTAACAGATACTGAGTTTTCCTCTGGACCTCCAGATAATATAGTGGATCTCTATATAATTGAATGAGAGACCATTATATACACTCAATCAAGGTCTCTCCGAGTTGTGGACAAGCGACCTAGCCTTTGCAGTCATATTTGCGGTCTCCGAGGGACCAAGTCATGGCGATTTCTTGTGCGGTCTCGCTGGGGGTGAACTCTAGGATAAATTATTTTGCTTTTTCCTTCTTTTTCTTTTTGTTTGTGTAAGAATTCGTGTTCTTTTTTTTACTGGCTATAATGCCGTTAGTTCTATTTACGTTTTATTGGTGTAGAGTCTGGTGTTCTTTCTCACTACGATACATTTTTGAATAAATATATGATTTGTATTTTTTTTTTTTCATTTTTATTATGCATTTTACAAGTGTTGTAAATCCCAGAGGCTATATTGTCATTACCATTGCAGTTATGATCACTCATACAGTCATTGCCAATGTTATGTTGCTTCTATTTTGAAAATCATCCATATTAGTAATATCATTATTATTCTTGTTTTAGTATCATTTGTTATCATTATTAATATAAAATTGTTTTTATTATTATTATCATTATTATCATCATTAATATTATTACTAATATTATTGTTATTGATAGCATTGTTATCGATATTACTATCATTATTATTATTATTATTATTATTATTATTATTATTATTATTATCATTCTTATCATTATCATTATTATTACAATTATTATTGGTAGTATTATCACTATTGTTACTATCATGATTATTTATATTATCTTCATTTATACAACCATCATCATTATCATTATCAATATCCTCATCTTCATTCTTCTTCTTCTTCTTCTTCTTATAATAATAAGAGTAATAATAATAATAATAATAATAATAATAATAATAATAATCATGATAATGATTATTATTATTATTATTATCAGCAGCAGCAGCAGCAGCAGCATTATTATTATCATTATCAGTAACAACAGTAATATTAATAATAATGCTAATAATAATAGTAATAATAATAATAATGATGATAATGATAATAGTAATGATAATGATGATTATAATGATAATAAAGGATAATGATAATGATGATAGTAATAATAATGATAATAATAATAATAATAATAATAATGGTGATAATCATGATGATAGTAATGATAATAATGATAATAATAATGGATGGTGTCTACTAGATGTGTAGTATAAAACTCTTTGACGGAGTGATTGAGTGTGTGTGTGTTCGCTGTAACGGCTGGGTACGAAGAGCCCCCCCCCCCCCAATCGGCGAAGAATTGAGCAGTTCTGCGTTGCTGTTACTTGGCCGAGGTGCTCTGGAATGTGATTCATTGATGAGTTGATGAACCCGGTTCCGAATCACGAAGCTTAAGGAGTCGGAAGCTGAGTCGGGAGCGAGGGGAGCCTGCGTGTCCGGTGTCAGCCAGTCAAGTCCCGGCAGTGAGTCGCAGAGAGTCGAGAGAAGCGCCTGCCGGTGAGAGAGAGCGAGGACAAGGCTGTAAGACCTGGCGTGATCCGGACTGGGAGGTATGCGGAGCTGAGGGTCGTGGCTGCTACGCTATCAACATCATCGTTATGAACATCATCATTATTTTTCCAGTGGTTAACGATATTTCAATTAGTATCATCCTCGATATAGACAGATGATGGTGCAGATATATATGAAAACAAAGACAGAAGATTTGGATAAATATGGGTAAATTACAAAGACAAAGATAGACAAATACAGATAGAAACAAAAGATACAGACATATGTAGATATAGATAAAATGGAAGCCACTGCATACAAAAGGTCTGGGCTTCAGCAGTGGTGGATAATGTGATTTCTAATTACAAAGATTTGAAATGCTACAAAATAGAGAGTACCCGGGGATGTTTTCACTTAGCGTTTCTTATATACTTTTTGTATGCTACAAAATCGTTATACAAATGATTCAAGGTTATAAGAGTTGTAAAAACTGTCTTCTTCTTATCATCATTCTATTATTATCTTTATCTCTGTTTCTCTTCTCCTGTCTTCTTGCTTTCTCTCCCTGCACGCAGCTTTCCATTTTCTCCATCTCTGTCTATCTATCTACACGTCCATCTATCATGTTAAACATTGCATGACGATACTCAACAATACACAAAGCTGGCCTTGCCTGTTTGTCGCATAGCGTGCAAACTTAGTACTGCAGTATTTCAGTTAAGCATAACACCCTTTTAACTGTTAATTAAGCGTAGTTAATTTATATGTTTAAATAATACTTGATATAACAGTTGACTCTTACACATGAAACGTTTATGCTAGTGTATTTTTATGTGTAGAAAAAGGTATGACCCAAAATGTAAAAATTTTATCGAAGCGTTATATATCTTTTCTCTTTGTTTTACAATTGCCATAATTAACTTGTGTGTACTTTAAGTCAATATTTATTTTGTTATTTTTCAACAGGATACATTGGTTTCACCAGAGCTCTAGGTAAAAAATTTCCGTGAAATGTTTCAGTGAGAGCTCTAGCGTTTCTATCAAATTCTATGATATATATAGTTTGTCTTCTATTCGCATCATACGTTTGTGGTCGATATTTCGTAAACATATTTCACAAACATATCTAAATAACACATAGACCCGCATTTTCACCAAGCAGGAGAAGGATTAACATTAAACACACACGCACACACACACATACATACACACACACACACACACACACACACACACACACACACACACACACACACACACACACACACACACACACACACACGCACACTCGCACATACACACAAGCACAAATTACGAATATTAATCTGGGTTAAAACAAACAGTATCTAAAAAACTCGAATTTTTAACTTTAATGTACAAAATTATATTTCTTTGGTGCTTCCACATCTGTACATATTCACATTAGATATAAAATGAAATAATCTGCTGAAATGCATTGCGCATGTCTGAATGTATATAAGTTTGGGTACTACAATTATACACAAAACATACACATACATATGCCTTAATCTAAATACAAAATAATAAAGAAAAAATGACTGAATCTCCGCCTTAGGTACACCTATTCAGGGTTCTATCGAGAATATTGGATAGAGACTGAGGTGGAACTGAGGGAAATGAATAGGTTTCTCTCTCTTTCTCTTTCTCCCTCCTTCCCTCTCTCTCTTTTTCCCTCCTTCCCTCTCTCTCTCTCTCTCCTTCCTTCCCTTCTTCCTTCCCACCTTCCTAGCCCCTCTGTTTCCCTATCTCTGCCTACCACTTATTAAACCACCATTGTACACCAAAAGACGGCTTCGAGTACAAATTTGATTCTGAAACAGGCGGAAGATTAGGCGATTAGTAACCTATGTAGGTTAACATAGTTGCCTATGGTAGAATAATTTCCCTCAGGATGCTCTTCCTTCTTACTGACGTCCAGGGTTGAAGTGACTTCCGAAAGTCTGGACAGATGTAGGACCTTCCTCGAATCCATAGGAAAAGCCGGAGCTACCCTGGTTGCCCAAGACGTCGAGGATTCCTGGAGTGCCGGAAGCGGAGGTCAGAAGTCCCGGGGTGCTAGGAATTCTCCCGAGGCCTTGCAGAATCCCGTGGCTGGGGTTGGAATGACGCACGCTGCCACCGGATGTTGGGGCGAAGGCGTCTCCGCGGTTGCTCTGAAGGAAGTCGGAATTCACGAAGAGTGCGACATTGCCGCTGGGAAAGGATGGGGCGCCAGTGGGTGAAAAGGACCCAGGTGCAGTGAGGGACCCCTGGTTTCCGAAGACGGTACTCTGACCTGCAAAACCGTGAGTACTCGGAAGGCCAACAGTACCGGCAGCAGCAGTAGACAGTGTAGATGGTCTGGAACCTGGGACTGCCACAAACTGTGATTGTGCTGGGGTGTCTTGGTGAATCAGTGGGCCCTGAAACGGTATGTTATGAGAACTGGGTAGGGAACCTACGAAGGCTGTGCTACTTGGTCTAGTTACTGCGCCCTGGAAGGCGTTACTTGGGGTGGCTACGGTACCCTGGAATGCAGCATTCTGGAAGGACGTGGCACCTTGGTGGGCAGAATTAACTGGCTGGACCGCAAAGCCGACGGGAACCGGGGTAAGTTGGTGAGCAAAGCTGCCCGGGAGAGGCAAGGAACTCTGACCAATTCCAGGGTTCGTCTGAACTGCAGGTCCCAAGTGAGCAAAATTTGAGTGTGCCGTGTTAGCTGCTTGGATTTCATTTGGGCGAACCAAGATGCCGCTTTGAGAGGGGAAGCCAAAATGAGCTAGAGTGTCTGAATGAGCCAAGTGAGCTGGCTGGGCCACTGAGTTGGGTTGGGCGGTTAAGAAGTGCTGGAGTGCGAATGGTGACTGACTTGGGGTTCCTGGGTGGCTGGCAAATCCTGTTAGACTGGCAGTGCCAGCCGGAGATCCGGTCCCTGAATGAGCTTTATGTGAGCGTGCCTTGCCTGTTACATGGGCTTCCGTAGCCTTCTGGTCCTCTGAAGTTTCTGCGGAACGTTTCCGCCTTTGTTGTGGCAAGTTGGAGGCGGAGGTGATCCTGAAGCCGTGATCGTCGGCCACGTAGTGCTGATACTGGATCTTCCCGTGCGGATCCACGTAGCTGAAGGAGCCCCGGACGTGGCCCAGGGCGTCGCGGGTTTCGGCGCGGGACGACGGGCCGCCGCTGTACCCGAAGGCGTAGCGGCCGAGCTCGTCCTGGGCATGGAACTGCTGCTTGACCACCTCATGCTGGAGTGTCACTTGGGGTGCGGGGGTGACCAAGGGCGACACCGCTGCAGGGACCACCGGGACAACGACCTTCGCGCTGGCCGGAGAAACAACAGCAACTTGCGCCTGGACTGGAAGAGCGACAGGGACGGCTGTTGGCGTCTCCACCTTAGGAACAGAAGGAACTGTCGCTCGCGTCCTCTGCGGAGGAAGAGCGGTATCGATTCGGGGGTGGAAGGGGCGCGTTGAAGACTTGCCAAGACCTTCCTGACGCCGCTGGACCTCCTCGGAGCTCTCCTCGGGATTGGAGGGACCGTCGCCCACGTCCTCGCGGTACAGAGTCGTGTCGTCAACATCGAACTTCACCAACTTCTCACGCTCGAGGGGCGCTGAGACGGAACTCGCACGTGGGACGGCGCCGTGCTGGACTGTCAAGGAGTACCGGGAGGTCGACGCGAGCCTGGAGGCGACGGGGACGGAGGAGCCGAAGAGCCCGAGGTAAGGGGAGGGTGCGACGGCCTCCCCCCCCGCCCCCGCGACCAAAGCCACCAGTACGACACCCAAAAT